GGGGTTTTGAGGGGCTTGGGGCTTTTGGCTTACCTCAGTGGAAGCTGGCTGGGGCTTGACCTTGGCCCCGCCACTGTCTCTGCCAGAGCAGGGACCATTTGGAGCCCACAGGGGGATTTGGTCTTAACACAGCCACAGTTTGCCCCTGCTGGCCTCAGGGCAGGGACTGGACCCTTGCAGCTCAACGGGCAGGGATCGGGGTTCAGCTACATTGTAGCTTTTGTTTACATATTTGCTCTCTGTTCTCCCAGTCGGGGAGGTCTGTGCAGGGGCTTTTTCTCAGCACAGCAACAGCTTTCCACTGCCGCCTAGGGCACTTACACTTGCACCACACCCAGCTAGGTGAGCTCCACACTGTGTAGCTAGCCCGAGGCTAGGGAAAGCCCTGCTTCACCACCAGGGGATACTCCACCCAACTTCTCACTGGGGAATTCCTGCCTGTGTACCTGGGGGCATAAGGCAGCTCGGCCAACACTCATCAACATTCCAAGCTGTTGCAGGAACGTCTGCCCAACCTCCGCAACACCAAAGCAGGCAACCCACTGATAGGGAAGCTACAGGAATATAAAGGAGTAGGTTAATCCAACAGTAATTAGCTGTAGGCAGTTTGAAGAAGCATTCCTACAAGTCCCCCAGAGAGAGTCAGTGTTCTTCAACTCCCTGGAAAATGGCACCTTGCTCCTCTAAAACAATACAACGCAAACAGCCATCAGCCCCATGCACCTCAACAAAAAAAACAGGAGAAACAAAAGGCAATGGCAGAAGATATCCCGAACATAACAACATACATAGAAGCAGCACACATTGAGCTGCCACAGAAAGCAATTTTCAGAATGCTGCTTGGAGTCATACATAAAAAGGATAAAATAATAGAGGAGATAAAGGCCATACACCAAAGGGAAATACAGGAGCTTAGGGAGGAGATAACAAAAACCAATAGCAGAAACACAGACCTTGAGAATCGACTGGAGGAATTAGAGGACTGCATCAGTGACTTGGAGGGCAGGCAAGCAGACTTCAACAAACGCAAACAAAAATCTAATAAGATCATCAGAGAAGCTGTAGAAAATCTAAGAGCTATGTCTGATGCTATGAAGTGGAACATTAGAATTATTGGCTTGCCGGAGGAAGACACAACAAAGAAGTCATCTGCAACAATAGCGAGAGAATTCTTGGAGGAAAACTTCCCCCAGCTTAATGAATGAAAACCACGCAACCATTCAGGAGGCTGAAAGAACACCAGTTAGAATGAATCCCAAGAAGAAGTCACCAAGGCACATAATAGTTAAACTATCCAACTTTGAGGAAAAGGAGAAAATCATGAGAGCAGCTAGGGAAAAACAAGCAATCATATATAAAGGGTCCCAAATAGGAATATGCTCAGACCTATCAGCAGAAACTATGAAGAAGAGGAGAGAGTGGAATAACATATTCCAAAAATTGAAGGAAAACAACGCAAACCCAAGAATACTCTACCCAGCCAAATTATCGATCAAGATAGATGGAGAAGTAAGAGTCTTCCAGGACAAGGAAAAACTCAAAGAATACATTAGAAGAAACCGAGCCCTACAAAAGATCTTTGCCAACCCAGTATGGGCAGAAGAACAACACTCACCAAGCATAAATCAGCGATCACCACATAGAGCAACCTCACCCAGAGGGCAACAAAATGAAAACAGACCTCAAGATAACATTGGCTTAAGGATGGAAAGAAGCCAAGAATGATACACACATGCACAACACACTAATGAGAAAGGAAAGTAGGAAAACTCTCAACAAAAAAGGTATAAGATGACATCACAGAGTCCGCAGATGGAGATAATAACCCTGAATATCAATGGACTGAACTCGGGCATTAAAAGACTGAAGCTAGCAGACTGGCTTAGAAAACACAGGCCATCAATCTGCTGC